GGGCCCAGGCTGGATTCAAACCAGCCACCTTAGGTATATGTGGCTGGCGCCTTAGCCACTTGAGCCACAGGCGCCGAGCCACACATTTGTGTTTTCAAAATTTTTAATAAGACATTTAATATATTTTGGTAAATTTGGCTTTCTCTTATCCACCCTGATGTTTTTGGCCAACTTCTTGTGTTTTTTTGTACTATCTTTGCTATAGAAAGTATTTTTTTTTTTGCTTTTATCTTCTGTTTTGAAAAGTATCTGAACTTGTTTTAGTTGTAATTTCTAAGTTTTGAGGGAAAAAAAGACTTTTCTTAAACTGTAAAGAAGAAAATGTTGTCATGAGTCCCTGTTATATCAGATTAGAAACGTAGCACCTTGGCACCTGTGGCTCAAGCAGCTAAGGCGCCAGCCATGTACACCTGAGCTGGCGGATTCGAATCCAGCCGGGCCTGCCAAAACAATGACAGCTGCAACCAAAAAAAAAAAAAAAAAAATAGCCGGGCGTTGTGGCGGGCGCCTGTTATTCCAGCTACTTGGGAGGTGGAGCAGGAGACTCGCTTAAGCCCAGGAGTTGAAGGTTGCTGTGAGCTGTGATACCATAGCACTCTACCCAGGGCAATAGCTTGAGGCTCTGTCTCAAAAAAAAAAAAAAAAAAAAAGAGAAACGTAGCACTTTTCTCTATACCACCCCCAGAGTTGCCAGATTTAGCATACAAAAACACAAAGTATCCAGTTAAATTTGAATTTCAAGTAAATTATTTGCATTAAGTCCATGCAACATTTGCAGTATACACTAAAAAACTTCTTTGCTTATATGAAATTCAAACATAAGTGGAGTCCTGGCAACTCTACTTTCCCACCCAAACTTTTATTATATAATGTGCTTCTATACTTAGCATTTGTATATTTTCTTGTACAACTATTTAAATTTTTTGAAGTTTTGAAACACATTAATTATTCAGACTTAACTGCATGTTTACATGATTTTAGTGCTCACCACCAGTCCTTTATTACATGGCTTTCACATTCTTGAACTGTAAAAGGCACATGTATGGTATGCTGTTTTTTAGCTTATCATCTAAAATACTCTTTCTTGCAAATATAATGGACTATTTTATTAAACTGTTCCTTAACAGTTGACTTTTATTAAATCTCAGAAATTCTGAAGGTGCTATTGCATTGTCTCCTGAGTTACCATTGCAGAGGTATCTATCCTCCCTTTTTAGCTTTGTAGATAACCAGAATTTTTCTGCATGCTTTCAATTGTTCCTTTTTTTTCAAAACTGTTCCTAAGACTGTTTTCATACTGGTTTTGCCTGAACTCTAGGGAGCATATGCTGTAATCCAGGTAAAAATTCTTAATATCTTTAATCATTGATTCTATTTCAAATGTTTTTTATATTCCTCAGAAACATCTTTAATTCTTACATTGGACTTCCACCCTCTGCTCTTCATTTTCTTTTCTCATTATTTCCATCTCAATATCTTTTCCTTAGCCATTTAAGATCATTTCAAGTTTATTCATGACAGCATTGATATTTTCCAATGTTAATTTTACTTTGTTGCCTTTTATTTTGATACATGTTTAAATTCACTAAAGTTCTTCATTGTATCTATTTCTCCTTTTATTTTAGAGGCTTTTCTCTACCTATGGATTTCTACTCTAGCTTTTTTTGAGATCAGTTTTCTGTTATGACACTGGGGATGCCAACTTTTTAAAATACTTCCTCGGTGGCGTAAGCAGCTAATTTTCAGGACAGTAAGTTTCTAAGTCTTCAGGATGATATTCCTTTTTCTGATATAGCAATTCCCTTGAATTTCACTTTTTACTTTGGAAATACTACCTCAGCCTATTTGCATATCAATAGTTAATACTTTGTTAGTGTTTTCCTATTGACTCTTCTGCATTTTTTATAATGGGTTATAAAATGGTTTATAAAAACCCTTCACACTTAAGAGGGTTTTTCTCCAATTATGTAAGTAGAGGTTAAATTCTCTACTTACATAATTAGCTTGAGGGTTCATTGTTGTACACAGCTGACTTCAATTCTATTCCTAGCACTCTGTTATACTAAGATTAAATAAAATTCTACTCCTTGAACTCCTGGTTCTGAATGGAACATCTTCTGTTTCTAGCATTCATTCCTATCAACTTTTGTCCATACCTTTCACATCTTAGAGAAACTAAATGTTGTACTTTTTGCTAGGTGGTGTCTGAAACTATGAATAAATGTGGAAAACTAGGCAGGGGAAGGAATGAGAGTGCACTGTGGTCACCAACATTTGAGGAAATGTTTTGAAGTCAATGAAAATACAAAGTTGAACACACAGAATAATTTCATGCATATTGAAATGCACCAAAAAAAAAAAAAAAAGGACTAGGATGAAGGGTTTTCTTCTTAAATTTTAATATATGTTTTAATGACTATGTTTATCATGGGTAAAGAAAATATTCTTCAGTTTTAAATGTATATAAATCCTCCTAAGAACCTCCTCTTAAAGCAAATAATTCTTAATTGCAGTTAGAGGAACTGTAAATGTATGGGATTTAGTTAGAGGAACTATAAATGTTGTATGGGATTATTTGTCTTGTTTACAGGATTTCCTTACCAGTAGCATTTACTGGGTTTAAAGGTTAAGCTTTGATTACAGGTATTAATAAACAAGATTTATACACTTTCTCTTCTATAATTACTGTGAAGATGTGAATTCTGATCAAATCCCTTGTAATATTCATGGCATTTATAAGGTTTCTCTCCTGTATGAACTCTTTGATGAATTCGAAGAGCTGAGCTATGACTGAAACCTTTACCACACTTAGCACATTGGTAAGGCTTCTCTCCCGTGTGGACCCTCTGATGAATGTGAAGATTAGAGCTATGACTAAACCCTTTGCCACAATCATCACATTTATAGGGTTTTTCTCCTGTATGGATTCTCTGATGAATAAGAAGATGTGAACGCTGACTAAATCTCTTGCCACACTCTTCACACTTATAGGGTTTCTCTCCAGTATGTACTCTTTGATGAGTGTGAAGCTTTGAACTCTTGCTGAAGCCCTTCCCGCATTCATGACAAGTATAGGGTTTCTCCCCTGTGTGAGCCCTCTGATGAATGCGAAGATCTGAGCTGTGACTAAAGTCCTTTCCACAGTCATCACATTTATAAGGCTTCTCTCCTGTATGCACTCTCTGATGAATTTGAAGATTTGAACGCTGGGTAAAGCCCTTGCCACAATCATCACATTTGTAGGACTTCTCTCCTGTGTGTACTAACTGATGAATTCGAAGATTTGAGCTCTGACTGAAGCCCTTACCACACTCATCACACTTATATGGTTTCTCTCCTGTGTGGACTCTTTGATGAACATGAAGTACTGAATTCCGACTAAAACTCTTACCACACTGATCACATTTAAAAGGCTTCTCTCCCATGTGAAGTCTCTGGTGAATGTGAAGAATTGAATTTCTACTCAGGTCCTTATCACACTCAAATTTATAGAGTTTTTCTTCTGTGTGGACTCTCTGATGATTATGAAGACTAGAGATCTGACTGAAGCTCTTACCACATGCATTACAGATGTAAGGTACCTCCCCCGTGCAGATTCTCTGATGAAAGTGAACTCCTAAGCTCTGACCAAAGTTACTGTTAACTTCATCACACCCATACAGCTTTTTACCTACATAGATTCTTGGATGTCTATATAAGTCTGATCTATGAGAGAAGACTGCTGTGCTGATGGAGTAATGATAGAGGTTATCTACAAGCTGATTTCCCTTGTGAATACATTGTGAGTTCCAATAATAAATTTCACTACATTTATTACATCCACAATACTTCTTTCCCATTGAGTCTTTCAAGAGGTCATTTTGGCAAATCTCCCCAATGTACTCTGGAAGGGCTTCCTTCACTGGGATATAAGAATGCTGAACTAAAAGCTTCTGTTCTTTTTCAGTGGAGAGGTTCTTCCTGGATATGCCAAGATGGTACCTGCCCCCTTGAAAACCATGTGAATCACTCATGTAGATTTCTTTACCACAGTCTGAAGTGGTTTTTGTTTCTAAGGACTGCCAAGGTATAAATTTTTTATATTTTAAGTTCCTGGGATTTTTCCCTTCGAAAGTTAATTTGTAATTCCCATACCCTGGTACTTGTGTGGAGAGTATTAACCATTCTTGACACTGGGAAAGGTCTTGCTGTGTTATGTCTTTGGAATCTACTTCCTGAGCAGTTACTTCACAGCTCTGATCCTCATATATCGGAGTGTCAGCATTCCTCCAGCCTTTCCAGCAGGAAAAATTTTCATATTCTAAATATCTGAATCTTTCTTCTTGGGGTTTGAAGCTCACATTCCAGTTTCCTAGAAGAAAAAGAAGATAATTCAGTCATGAGATAAAAGTTGTATTTGAAAATTTCTAAGTGTCAAAATCAACAACATCACTGTCACTCTGGAGTGATAGAAATATAGGTGAGGATAGGAATAGGAAAGAAGGTTAGGACTTCAGCTGCTCCTTTTGAGTCTGAAATTCATTTGCTTTGTTCATTCGTATATGTATTCATTCATTTGTTTATTTATTCATTCTACAAGCATATCTTGAGCATCTACTATTTACCAGGCACTGTTAGAAAAAAGAATAGGGCCAACTGCTTCATGGAAATACTCTTAAAACTGATATTTAATTATACTATTTTGAGTATTATTATTATTAGAAATAAAATATATTGTTCTTACTTTTCTGTTCTAGAATGGTGTGGTAGACTGTTTGGAAAAAATGGCTACTTACTTGCTGCTTTATCTATGACTTTGGTGTTCTCTTTCTATTCTGTCTCTACGCGTGGCTGTATTTGGTCACTGCGACAATAGCCAAAGTGATACAAGCAGAGACTTAAAAAGTGTTTGCTCTCTCTCAATGCTTCTGAAATTCCTGTGATTACTACTATATAAATGAGTCTCAGTTAGCTTGTTTGCAAAGGGACGTAAGGCTAACACATCCCAATTATCCCCACTGATACTAAGCCAACTGCCAGACATATTAGTCAGGCCAGCCAGCCTCATCTATCTTACCCCAATCAAGTCTTTTCAAGATAGAAGATCCATCCAGCCAATAAGAATCATGAAAAATGATAGTTTAAACCTCTAAGTTTGGCATATTCACTATACAACAAAAGCTAACTTGTATAAATAGTATGAAAAGGAAACAAATTTAGGACCACACAAAGTTCACTATATATGGAGATACGTGCTTTAAGGGTAATTCAGAAAATAACTAAAAATCATAATCACAAATACCTATTAATTGTATAGACTAGGTGTCCTAGAAGATGTTTTGTTTTATACAAATGAGTCTGGGTTAGCTTGTTTGCAAAGGGACGTAAGGCCAACACATCCCAATTATTCCACTGATACTAAGCTAACTGCCAGACATTTGAGTCAGGCCAGCCTGACTTATGACACATTTTTCAGACTATTTCTTCTTCCACCTCAATACAACATCCCAATTCTTCCATGACTTTCGGGGCGGCACCTGTGGCTCAAAGGAGTAGGCCCCATATGTCAGAGGTGGTGGGTTCAAACCCAGCCCAAGCCCAAAACTCCAATTCTTCCATGACTTGAATACAGCACCAGATAAAAACCTGAATACTCAGCAAAACTGGTTCTAGAAGAAACTAAGTCTATTCCCTCTAAGATGGGATAACTTTACCTACTGACATGACATTTGTGTAGTTCTCCCACATGACTTCCCTGTAGAGCTTTTTTTGAGACAAATCCAGGAATTTCCATTCCTCCCAAGTAAAAATAATAGTCACATCTTCAAATGTTATTGCCATCTGGTCAAAGATCAGGCTTTCCAGGAAGAAAAAATCTAAGAGAGAAGAATAACAAGGAAAAGAAACATTTAGCAAAAAAAAAAAAAGAGGGGGAGAGACAGGTGGTAGGTAACACAACAGGCAAACTAGATAGAAAAAGAAGTAACTTCTGAACTTCAATTAGGAAAAAAACAAGAAAAGTAAAGGGAGGCACAATAATAGTAGTGGAATTGCTAGATATATATCCAATCATGAAACATAATCACTATTATAAGAAACACCTATATAGTGCAGCACTTGTCTGTTAATCACCAGACTAAGTACTTTACCTATATTCCAGTTAAAACTCACAGTAATAACCCTTTGTTGTAGGTACTATCATCGTCCCTGTTTTACAAATTAGTAAACAATGGTTGAAAGAGGATTAAGTATATTCCCAGGACTATAGTGCTATAAGGAAAACAATAGAATAGCTGGGACTGAGGTCCGCATACTACAGACCAAACCCGTTAGCCGCTGTACCAATATTGCTCAATGTTCTTTATATTACTGCATTGTGACTGATTACTTTAGATAGTATGTACTTTCTTTTTGCTGTAAGACATTAGATCTTATACCCTATACTTCTGCTAAGTATTCTCATACAGTGTTATCACTAATGTTTAGCCACATTAATAAAAAGTTCTAGCTGGGCACAGTGGCTTATGCCTGTAATCCTAGCACTTAGGGAGGCTGAGGCAGCAGGATCACTTGAGACCATGAGTACCACACCAGCCTGAGCAATACAGTGAGACTCTGCTTCTACAAAAAAAATTAGGAAATAAAAAATAATAAAAAGTTCTTATATAATTTTCACTATGACTCTTTACAGTTTGGGAAAATTGTCTGTTTTATTTCTACTTAATAAATCCACTATCCTCATATTCTTAATTATTTGAAAATTCTCTACATAATCTATCTTATCAAGTATCATCCTGCTCCAACCTGAATGTACGCTGAAGCTCCACTTTCTTTTGAGCTCCATTTTTAAGACCATATAATCATTCCTCTTTTGTGATTTACTCCTTTATTTTAGAGAAGGACACCTAAATGAGTTTAATCAAACCTATGAGTGTGAATCAAACCTAGGGCCAATGAGAAAAGCAAAGGTGAGAAACAAACGAGGTTCTCTTCTGTGACAGACAGTTTAAAAAAGAATTTCCTAGCATAGTTACTAAAAAAAAAATCCCTAGAATTCATTTGAATCACTGTATACCTGAAGTCTTCATTTATCCCCTCATACTGGCTACGTATAATCTTCTTGAATGAAAGAATTTTTTTCAGAATTGCTTCACTGTTTGTAACCATTCGGTGTTGCTGCTAATATTGATTTTTTAAAAAAAATTCTAAGCACTTTGTAGGTAATCTTTTGTTTTCTCTCTGGAAATATTTTAGGATCCTTTACCTCCTTATCTCTTCTTGGTTTGGGATTTTTTTCATTGGTTCTACTGGGCATTCAGTGAGCCCAGCAAAACCAATAATCTGCAGACAGCTGCTCATTAGCTTTACCAAATTTTCTTGCTTCTTTGCCAATTTCTTCTTCCCTCTAATTTCTCTGTTCTGGAACACTTTACTTACACTGAGTTACCTGTTAGTCAGTCATACATCAGTTCTTTTGGATGATCTCTTTATGTTCTTTCTTTTTATTCTACTATCTGGAAGGGTTTTTCAACCTTCCAGCTCTTCCGTTGAATTTCTTATTCTGGCAACCATGTTTTAATTTCTAAGAGATTATTTTCCTTCTGTTATGGTTCTTTTTCTTGGCATCCTGTTCTAGTTTTATAATGCTTTAAAAACTTTCTTAGGGTATTAGTAAGAGTTCTGTTGATGCAACATCTCATTACTTTAGGAATGCTAATTTGAGTTTATACCAAGTTTTCTTACGTTACCTGCATTATGTTCCCTCGGTGTTATCAACACACACACACGCGCGTGCACACGCACACGCACACACACACTTATTTTAGTTTCTCTCTTTAAAGTTGAAGATTTTTACTTATGTATCTGCTTATTCTTAGATAAGCAACAAAGGTGATTCAAATGCTAGAATTCTTAGAGAATGTTCCCCTACTACAGAAAATAGATGTCTCATTTCCTGTTTGAAGGGATGCGTGTTCACTTCAGGCTGGCCTTCTGCTTCAGGTGGTATGGATGCAACCTTAGCCCCTCTGAAGTTTATAGGGCTTGTCAGTTCCTTTCTAATCTATATTCTCCTGCGTGAGCATTCTACGATGTAATATCTTTAGCTCGAAGTGGCTGTTACCACTATTCCTCCTGTTGTCTTTCAGATCTTTGTTGAAATTTCTCATTTTCTGATGACTCAGCACTTAATCATTTGCAAAGTAATAATTTTTTTAGTTTTTTTATTACCACCATTACGTAGAGAAATATAAGTATTCAAACTACTTAAAAGTATTTTAACGGGAAAAACAGACCATAAATTAGTTTTGTGACAAGGTTATTTAATAACATTCTCAATTCTAAATTTTAATTTAAAACAGAGTAAAAACTAAGCATAAGGGAATAGATATTTTAAGGGGTTTACAAAGATGGATAGAAACTAAAATGTTAGCAGCAGCTAAACATCACTGAATATGTATTATATGAACAGAACTATGTTTATCTCATTTACTCTCACAACACTCCTATTAATAAACCATTATAATCTACACTAAAAGAACGAGAAGTCTAACATTTAGTAATGCTAAGTCACTTGCACAAGGTCATGTAATTACAAAACAGAGGTTTTTAAACCAAGGCCTACCTAGTAAGTGAAAGTGGGGGAAGTTAAAAACATTTGGTTAAGGGTTATAAATTAGTTATTTCCACAGACCATCACAATGTGTTAATGTAGAATGCCCCCAATGCAGAGAAGAGGCACTGAAATATTCCAGGGTTCAAAACATACCACCAAAGTACTATTTTCCAAATAAACTATATGAAAATACATATCTACACAATGAAACATTATTTATAAATAAGAACTTAAGAATGAGAAAATTCAGTGCTCTATACTTAAATATCTAATGGTTTACTTTTAAATGTCTATAAAATAAATTTTAATAAGCCTATTTTGAATATATCAATAAAATAAGACAATAAATTTGGGAGGCTCAGAAGTCCAGAGTAAAGGACTAAAAATGGGGAAAGAAAGTTAGTATGTGTATGGAAAATAAATGAAATCAATGGTTTCTCACTTCATAAAAAGTACAGTGAAAATAAAACTCAGTCTGTGACTATTGGCTTTGTTATTTTTTTTAAATACTTAAGAATTTCTCTGGGCTCAGCACCTGTGGCTCAAGTGGCTAAGGCACCAGCCACGTACAGCTGAGCTGGTGGGTTCAAATCTAGCCTGGGCCTGCCAAACAACAATGACGGCTGCAACCGAAAAAAATAGCTGGGCGTTGTGGTGGGCGCCTGTGGTCCCAGCTACTTGGGAGGTGGAGGCAGGAGACTCACTTGAGCCCAGGAGTTGGAGATTGC